GGGGAATAAAATTCTACAATTTTTGGTGCGGGGCTTTGAAACAATTTTATTTCATTCCCGCGGGGGATTGCAAAAATTTTTTTTCATTGCCCCGCACCATAAGTTTTATTGCAATGCCCCGCATCTTGCGGAGCAATGAAATTCCAGTTTGTTTCATGGGGCAATAATCTGCGGGGGATTGACACGTAATCCCAAAAATGCACAACAAAACGGTGTTCATGTCGAGCGCGAAATGTGCTGTGCAATTCACGCTGTCACAACTCCCAATCCTGCACTAACAAATACCTAGGCGAGTCATTACTTTCATCTCACTTATTTTTCATTTTGACGGTGCCCGATAACCCTTGGGCATCGTTGTCAGTGCCCGGGCATGGTTGCCTTACTCTCTCGATCCCAATCTTTGCCCGACCGTTTAGAGCACTTCTCGACTTCTCGGGTACCGTCGTCAATGTCCGGGCATTGACGACGATGCCCAGGCGAGTTGGGCACCGTCGTCAGTGACCGGGCATTGACGACGGTGCCCGAGACCCGGACGTTGCCCGTAACATATAGACTAAATCATGAGTTCAAAATAATGCCACATATTCCAAGCCAGCAGACATCCAGGACGGATCTGATTTTTTAGGAGCCAGAGAGGGACCACCTTTATAGATGTGTATGTACATTTCACCAAGAACCTGTGATGTCCCATCATAAACACCGTAATGTAAATAAAAAAGTAGCGTAAAAAGTGAGGTAATGACATCACCCTCAGTAATTAACATACTTAGTAAGAGTGCAATTTGGACATAATTACACGAAAGGGAACCAAGCGCCAAATTTCTGATTTTCAGTTTTTAACAGATCTGGATTCTCCATAGCATAAGCTACTCTGACAAGTAAATATGCCCCCAAAAAACCATTTTCATCCCCTAGGAATAGCGCCTGAAATATCGCAACGTAGGGAATCGGGGATGAATGATAAAAGCAAAAGGAACTACGTGTATTTCCTTTTGATTTAATACGCTAACCCTGATTCCGAATTAAATCAAAAGGAAGGAACTACATCCACTGTATCGGCGCGCGCGCGGCAGAGCTTTGAGGAAACTTGGTGAAACTTGCAAACGGGCGGTACTTTCGGACGGGAAACTCGAATTTCTGGTCAAATTTTGAAAATTCGAAAATCCAAGATGGCGGGCATGGCCTAAAATGCTATCTCGGCTCCTGTATAATCAATCTTGGTGAAACATAGTAGCAGGGGATATTTTTGGACGGGAAACTCGAATTTTTGGTCAAATTTTGATAAATCGAAAATCCAAGATGGCGGACATGGCCTAAAACTCAATACCTCAAAAAATGCAAAAATTAAAAATTATTGAACGACTCATTGTTAAAAATGTTTAAATCCAAGATAAGGGATGTGGCCTTAAACAATAACTCCATGCCTAAATCGTTTGTGTGGAGTTCAGTGTTCGGGGCTAAAAATGACAGCAGAAACTGTTAGGTAACTGCTCTTTCCGTGAGAGTTAGTATACAAGAAAAAAAACAAGCAGTGAACTCCAACACAATGTGCTGATGAGGCGCGTCAATGACTCTTACATATCAACTAGATTAGTTTTTATTTACAGAGATTTGAATATATGTATGTAATCAGCACATGAAGGGAATTCACGATCTAACACTGCGAGGTCAACCACGCACCTCGACGAGGCGCAGTATTGTGAACATAGAAAGCCATTCGAACGAGTTCAAGTTTTTTGATCTGACATGCACACCTCAAAATAATTAAAGTTTACAAAGGGGGAAATTTTCACATGTAATCCTCAGTGGCAAGAATCAGCAGGAATGGAGATTGAGGTTAGGTATACTTTAACTCCCATCCTCCTTCGACCTTTAAAACCTGGTCCATTCACGCTCCGCAGGTTCTCTATAGGGCAGCCATTATAGACGTGTACTTCATTGGTTGAAAAAGGAGATAATATTTTAGGCCATGTCCGCCATCTTGGATTTTCAAAATATTAAAATTTGACCAGATATTCGAGTTTCCCGTCCAAAAATACCCACTGAATCCAAATTTCACCAAGTTTCCTCAAAGCTCCGCCACGCAGGCATTGATGAGGTGGAATTGTTCCTTTTGATTTACTTCAGAGTCCTGTATAGCTCATTCATTCAGAAGGACCTACGTGCAAAATCCCCTACATCTCGCTTACTAGTCATTTTTTCGAAATTTTGGTGACGTAAGCAGTTAGAAGAGCTCCTCAGCTTTCAAACAAGCCACACTGAACTAGAACCCATCTATTAGCAAGGAAACGCCAATGGTTTTAGTCGAACTTGCTCCACTGCAAAGTTTGAAAATGTCGCTTAGTCCTTTTTAGCATAAATACATCCATTAGAAAAATCCCTTTTGTCCTTTTTTTCAAAATTGGATGTATGATTGATATGGACTGTCTGAAGGTTAAATTTTCACAGAAAATTTTCCTCAAAGTTTCCCAAGGAAGGGATTTTAAATAACCCAATCTACACTAATTTAAGAATGAGAAGTTTTACTTACCAACGTGTTTTTGTTGTGGTGTTGAAGGTGCTGACTGAGGAGGTGGGGCAGGTACACTGAAGCTTTTCAAAGGATGACCTTGAAGTCGCTTAGATTCTGCAGCAGTCCTACAAATAAAAAAGGGCTGGTATTTAACAGAATATTTTAAAAAGTACATGCTTTTTAATACGAAAAACGCGTTACTCTCAAAACTACAATTTCTGTTTTACACCTTCTTACCAAAGAATTCCGCAATTTACTTAAAGGCCAATTGACTTATGTCAATGGTGAAAAATTGCTGCTAAGAAGTTCTTGTGGGGTCATGGCGAAAGCTGAGAAAAACCAACTTTGTTTATCCAAGACGATTGGACTAAAATTTACAGTAGAGATTAGGGGTTCAGTTCAGAGAAAACTTAGAGGCCTTTAATATCCCTACATACAAATATGTGAAAACAGCGGTTGCTTATTGCAAAATTAAGTCTAGTCAGGGCTAAGACTTTTCGATGCCACCGCTTGCATAAAGTATTTAGAATTTTAAACATTACAGAAATTATCAAAATAAGGCTTCCAAAATTTTTAACTTTGGGCATACCAGGGGAAAAAGGCCTCCAATGGTTATTTGATTGAAAGCATCTGCAGACTTGAACCTAGTGTCAGGTAGTTGCTGATCATTAATATGATTTTGCCTCTCCTCACAGATTGTTTTAAGAGGAGCGTTACAGATTGAACTGCCAAAAAATGGATTTTGCAAAAGCTGAAAAAAAATCTCTTGACATTCTAGCTACAACATCGGTTTACTCTTGTAAACCAAAAAAAGTTTTATCCTCATACATATGATTCTCGAGATACACTTATTGCACTAGCTAAATGTGAAAGAAGTAATCGAAACATACCCATATGTTTGTCCTTGAATTGGCGTACTGGGAGGCTGAGATGTATTTGGGTTGTTGATTGATTCATATGTGCTAGGTGCTGCACTTTGAATGATATAGGTATTCTCAAGTGCTCCTAGTTTACGACACATAGCAAAGAGTTTCCATGTATGAATATCAAAATGAGTTACATTGAAATAAAGGTAATTAGCATTAGGAAAACAATTCTTCAGAAAATTGGGAGGGGGGAGAGAAAAGAAGACAGAAAAAAAGGATGATTCAATACTGTGATTGGATGGATTAGAAGGGTAGGTAAAACAAGACAAAATAAATGGAAACCGCCTAGAATAAGATAATACCCATTGATTTGTTGAAAGGTTAATCAACAGATTTGATATATTTTTTTGCAGTTCGTTTCTATCTCAATTTTTTCATTTTCTCTCTGAAGAAAATTCTGAATCATTAATAGAGCTTTAAGGAATGCGGGATATGCAATTTAAGTGCGTCTCCTTAGGTAAAATTCTACAAGAAACATAACGGTGCTACTGGGTTTTTTTGAAACGAATTCCTAAGCTCAAAAAAGCTCTTAAAGTTGAAGCCAAGATGGAGGGAATCCCCTTCACTACGCTGACAGTTCACCCCTTTATGCAGTCAAACTTTTCATGCACGCACAGATAGGGAGCAAAAACATTAGCAGGATTGCCATGGTTCCGGCCTTAGAATCGCCAAACAAAGTGCCAACCCTGCTCATGTATGTTCTCCCTATCTGTGTAGTGTGCATGGAGAGGTTTACTAAATACAGAAGCTGACTCTCAGCATAGGAAGGGGGATCCTCCCCATTATGACCTCAACTTCTAAAGCTTTCTTTGACCTTCAAAGTTTGTTTCAAATACAATCAATTGCACCATCGTGTTTCTTGAAAAATTTTACATATGTACAAAAAGGGCAAATCTGCAATCTGCAAAATTGCAAATCTGTTGACAACCAAGTCAATGCCATTGGGTAAAACAAAAAGTAAGTTCGGAGATCAACACTATTTTTTGCCTGATGATGATTGATGAGAAACTTAAGGAGGCTAAAATTCACCTAATGAAATTAATGAATGTTGGGTGAGTACTTTGCTGAACAAGTTATCACAAATTAGGTTCAGCTTTCTAAACGAATTGCTCAAAACTTTGATGATCAGTCATCATCAGGCAAACCGGAACGTCGATTGAGCGTCTGAGTATTTCAGTTGGAGAGAGCCGTTTGCTGAAGTCCTCAAAACTTTTGACAGTTCGAAGAATCTTCAGCAACGTTACTCACCACCTTGTCATTACGCAAAATGGCACATTTGCAGGTCACGACTGCCCTAACAAAATTTGCCCACTTTTGTTTGAGGAGGTCTTGGCCAAACTGCTGGTCAATATGCTAACTGTTCTTGATATATTAACACTATTAACAGATAAAATAAGAAATTAATTAAATTAAATTAAATTAATAAATAATTAACAAGTAAAATAGCTTCATAAATTGGGCGTTATCATCATCAATCACAAAAATAAAATGAGATAAATAATTGAAATGTAAACAGAGAACTCAATAACTCTTACCTGTTGCATCAACTGTTACATGTGCTCGAGATACACTGTAGTGTTGATGAGGATAAAGTGGTTGCATTTCGACAATATCAGAACTTGCTGTAGGGCAAACAGAATATTATGAATGTTACAAGGACAAATGACAATAATTCCGCTAAAAACGTGACATCATTTTCTTACCTTTCTTCTTTATGGTTAGTTGCGTAGGAAAATGATGAGGCAATGACATTGTATATTTCAGTGATACTTAAAGAGACGTAATTGATTCTTAGATTCAATGAGACCCTTCACGGAATTTGGAAGAGCACCCCAAAAAAGTTTAAATAAAAATCAATGAAAAAACTCGAGTCCTCAATGCAAGTGTTAGGATCCTAATTTTACATTTCAGGATGAAAAATACTATGAAAATTCACAGGATCAACTTCACAAAAAACGAAATGAAGCAAAAATGTGGGTAGAATAAGAAATAGAATAACTGATTTTTCAGGGATGGGAGGCGCTTTCGGAGGAAATTTTAAACAACACAAAAATATTTTTTGGACTCGAAAAATCGATTCTAAAATATGGTCTAATAATCCCTCAAACGTTTTTATGCTGGAAATATCCGAAATCTTATTAAAACTAACCTATCCACTTTCCACTTCCAATTCATTGACTCTTGTCCTACAGATGGGATAGTGAGTGAATGAGACAGGTTAAAGGTGATTTTTAAAACAGGAGCCTCTTTGAAATCTAAATTTTAAGAATAGACACTTATTGAACTTCAGGCACGTTGAATTTCATTCATAGCTTACTTACAATTGCTGGAAGCGCTACGCCTGTCCATTTGAAGGGAAATAGGCTTGCTTTTAGAAGCAGACCGTAGAGTTGATTTTTTTTCTTCGGACAATAAGGGTTGTTCAGATGGACTCCCTGCTTAGTTGATTAAAAGGAAAGAGGGAAAATGATTAAATCATAGAAATAAAGATAAAATTATGATATATGAAGATAATAATAACACTAGGCAACAAAATTTTGGGTTGAATTTGCCAATCGAACGGGACCTGTTTCTTTCTACTCAGGGGGGTCTACTGATGACTAAGATGAAGGCCTAAAAAATTCCCAAGCTCTGGTTTTCAAAATATTTAGGGTTTTTCGCATTTTTAAGGGTAAATTTTGAGTATTAAAGGGGATTATTAAAATAATTTATGGCCAGTTTTAATAAATGTTTCCAATTGACTTTAAACTCGGTTAGCCTCATTCAGATGAGTCTACTAAAGATTGTACTGGTCTATTAAAGCCAAACATGGGTATGGAACAAATATTTTATCACCTCTGTTTGAAATTTGGAGGATTTTTTGAGTAAAAAAGGCTCGATTTTTGCGGGTCTTGAGGCGATCAGAGCTGTGATTAGGCTTAAAATTTAAGACGGTTTTTCGACGGCTTTTCTCCCCTTCTCCCTTCATTAATTGGGTCTTTTAAAAGGAAAATCACCCGTATGGGCAATATTTTGCAACGTTTCTTTGAAATATTGAGGATTTGCTTGAGGAAAGCTGCGCTTTTTTGAGCATTTGAATAAACAAGCTACTGCTCTGAACTAATTGCTGCAATGAAATGAAATGAAAAAGAAACAGACAAATTAGAAGCTCTAAACTCGATTTTAACCTTTGGGCGAGTGTTTTAAAGTTGAAAATATACCAAGAAAGTATTTTACCTTCTTATACACTTCATTTTTTCATGTTTTCTTTGAATAAAAAAAAAAAAAAAAAAAAAAAAAAAAAAAACATAGTTCAAATCCAGCTAGAGTGAACAAGGAAATGAGGTCCGTAATTAATGTACTCAATTTATTCTACTCATTTATTTATTTATTATACATGTATTTCCATGCATGACACATTAGATGAAAAAGAATAAATTGAAAAAATGAGATTAAACACTATCTCGACGCTTTCTTTTCGATTGGCGCTTGTATAGCGCCTCTGGAGCATCTCTGAAAATTGACCAGCAGTAGTCGGCAAGCCTTGTTGATTTCCAGCTACCCTGATACTGCTTTTCCATTTCTGACACTTGCTGATGAAAGCGTTCGCCATGTTCATCACTGACTGATCCACAATGTTGAGGGAAAAAATCCAAGTGTGAGTGTAAAAAGTGAATCTTGAGTGACATGTTACATTTTAGTTTCCGATACTTAGAAAGCAAATTTGCAACTAAATCCTTTTAGTTTTCCGCTTTGCAATTGCCCAAAAAGTTACTACAAACTGCTTTGAAACTGTCCCATGCTTCTTTTTCAACAGGAAGTAATTTTTCGTCAAAAACACTGTCTTTGAATAGTTTCCGAATTTGAGGACCAACAAAAATACCTTCCTTGACTTTTGCTTCATTGAATTGAGGAGACTTTTCACGAAGATATTGAAAACCCGCGCCATTTTTGTCTAAAGCTTTGGCGAAGTTCTTCATAAGGCCAAGTTTGATATGCAATGGAGGAAGGATAATATCGTTCGGGTCAACTAGTGGTGCATTTTCCACATTTTTTCCCCCAGATGTAAGAGATTTTCGTTTTGGCCACTTTTTCTTCTTAAAATGAGATTTACGTGCTCGGCTATCCCACTCACAAAGAATACAACAATATTTCGTGTAACCTTGTTGCCTTAATTACTAATAAGCCATATTAAAATGGCTATTAAGAATTACTCCCCCGTTCCTTTCTTTATTCTAGATTTGAACTTTTTTTTTTTTTTTTTTATTCAAAGAAAACATGTAAAAAGGAAGTGTATAAGAAGGTAAAATACTTTTTTGGTATATTTTCAACCTAAAAACACTCGCCCAAAGGTTAAAATCGAGTTTAGAGCTTCTAATTTGTCTGTTTCTTTTTCATTTCATTTCATTGCAGCAATTAGTTCAGAGCAGTAGCTTGTTCATTCAAATGCTCAAAAATGCGCAGCTTTCCTCAAGCAAATCCTCAATATTTTAAAGAAACAAAGCAAAACATCTTTCAGACGGGTGATTTTCCTTTTAAAAGACCCAATTAATGAAGGGAGAAGGGGAGAAAAGCCGTCGAAAAACCGTCTTAAATTTTAAGCCTAATCACAGCTGTGATCGCCTCAAGACCCACAAAAATCGAGTCTTTTTTACTCAAAAAATCCTCCAAATTCCAAACAGAGGCGGTAAAATATTTGTTTCCAGTGGCGTGCGGTCCGGATAAGCAAGGCAAGCACTGCTTGCCCAAAGGTTTCTAAAGAAAGAAGAAAATTACACCTATTAAATGTTTTACATTTTAGCAAATATAATTTATAAAATGCGTTCAGTAAGTAAACTGCATTAAAACAGAAAGAGAGGAAGACAGAAATACGTATAGAGCCACCAAAGTAGGAAAGCAGAAAAGCGGATGGAGGAGGCGCAGCGCGCTGCGCGGCCTGAACACGGGCCAACTCATGTGCTGGAGAATCGCTTGCGATCAGCTGAGCGGAGAGCCACTGCTCGGCGGCGGAATCAAGGCAGGCGGGGAGCGCGGTACGTTCCGAGTCCGAGCCCTTCGCTGCGCGATCGCAGCTCGCTTCTCTTGGCCCGTCACCGCAGCGCGCTGCTTCTGCCTCCGATGCGCTATCTTGTTCTCTCTTTCCGTCGCGGTTGCAATTGCTCCTCCGGAGCAAATGCCTTTATATTCTATAAAATTTCGCTCACTTGGATCTAATTGGTGATGAATTAGACAATTCTCAATCATGTTTTAAATGCAGAAAGCCTTTTTTTTGGGAAATTTAAGTAACTCAAAAAATTCTAAATGCTGTAGAATAAAGACTATAATACCTCAAATAAGTGGCAAAATTAGGAGTTATGAGTGAGGAGCCGTCCTCCAATGCTCAATAACATTCGAAACAAGTTGAGTAAACGAAATTATAAATAAGAGAGAAAAAAATAAAAATACAGTTTTTCAAGACGTTACGTTCCATCAGATTTCATCCGAAAAATAGAGCTAGTAGAGTAAAATTTTAAGAATTTTCTAGGAAGGCTAGGGGGAGGGGGAAGGGAAAGAGGCTACGTTAACCCCCCCCCCCCCCGGATGGCGAACGCTAGAGCTTGCCCTGTCACTAAACCCACCGCACGCCACTGGTTTCATACCCATGTATGGCTTTAATAGACCAGTACAACGAGAACATACAGAGTCTCTAGCGGTTTAAAAAGTCATTTCAAAGTTGAATCATGAATCAAGAGCTCTAAGCCCCTTAAAACCCCATAAAAGACTAAAAATACATACTTTTTTGACTAAAATAAAATCCTGAAAATTAAAAAAATAGGCTCTGTGTTTTTAGCGCCCATTTTTGTCTTCAGTAAACCCATCTGAATGAGGCTACCCGAGTTCAAAGTCAATTGGAAACATTCATTAAAACTGGCCATAAATTATTAGAATAATCCCCTTAAATACTCAAAATTTACCCTTAAAAATGCAAGAAACCCTAAATATTTTGAAAACCAGAGCTTGGGAATTTTTTAGGCCTTCATTTTAGTCATCAGTAGACTCCCCCTGAGTAGAAAGAGACAGGTCCCGTTCGATTGGCAAATTCAATCTAAAATTTTGTTGCCTAGTGAATGGAAAAGTAAGGAGCAAACAGGAGAAAAGAAGGAAATTCTCTAAAAAAAATAATACAATTATTAATTATTATGAGAATGGAAATAAAGACAAGCAGGGAATTCGAATAGAAACTGTAGAAATACTTCAATATAACAGCGGCAGATAAACCAAAGAAACTCATTACAATAAAGCCATGTAGGTACAGAACGACAGTACTTCATTAAAGTGACCATCATCGTTAAGAAGACAACATTTGAAATCATTAAATTTTTTGACCATTGCTATCAGACGACTATGGACCATTTTGAAATTCTTCTTTTCATATTTCAACTTATTTTATTTAAGAGACTATCGTGGACTGTAGAATGTTTTATGTGATGATCCACTTTTTTTCTGAATTGACTGATCACAAGAAAAATTGAGAAGAGAATACACAACTTCAATATTTTGTTCTAATTCTATTAGGGCAGGGCGTTGCAAACTTTTGAAGCTATAAATGTAAATTTCGCTGTATTTAAGCCTTGCTCGCATTTGATAAAGAGATCTTCTCATACCCTTTTCTTTGACAGCTTCGGTAATCATTTTTACAGTTACTTTTAAGGTTTCATCAGATATGAAACAAAAAATCATAGCCATCTGCTGTTTGCAGATGTCATGCATATTTAAAGACTTTCGCAGCGTGAAACACGAGAATAGAAAAAAAAACTACTGGATAAATGATGCGTGTGGACAAAACATGCCTTAGCAAAACACTTACAAAAAGTTTTTTGGTAGGTTAAGTCTAAAAACAGCAGTAGTAGTTCAAAATTTGGTAAAATGCATCATCAAAATTCACTCAAGATTCTCTCAAGAGAAGAAGTCAATTCTTTAAAACCCACAAACAGAGCGAAGGTCGTCCAATTTGCTCTAGATTCCCCTTCGTTCATCACCGCCAACCCTCCCCTGCAAATGCTTCAAAAGATGGCTTCAAACATGCAAATGATAAAAAGGTTTCTTTCACAACTGTACCATAACTGACCTCCCTTACAATAAAAAGCAACCAGGATCAAGACATAAAGAGATAGCTTTTTAGAGAAGAGTTTTCTTACCTATATATGAAGAAATATAATTGCGTTTATCTAAAGAGTTTGTCATAGTAGATGAAGTGTGATGATGAACCCGCGTTTCTTGGTGGTGGTCAGAGACATCAAACTCTTTGGAGAGGTTAATAGAGCTGGGCCCACCACCAGAGGCAGTGTCTAGGGATCCCTGTGATGACTTTTCCAATGCCTTTAGTTCCATTTGATCGTGGTGAATCCATAAGTCGGGAGGCTTCAAGTTTGTGTTGAGACTTTTCTGCTTACTACCCGTTCCAGTTTTCATGTATCTGTAAGAAAATCTCCTGAAGTATTTCAAGAATAATCTTGAAGTTACTGATTTAAAGCAAGGGTAACATGAATTCGATACTTCCAGGGAAAGCAGCTGCACATTGACTGTTTATGGTTGGAAGTTCAACAACTATGAAAGTTGATGAAACAAATTGGAATCAAACTATGAAGGTCAAAGACGTATCATAGGGTTCCAAACCTTCAATTTTAAAATTTTCTGATTCCTCCAACCGATTAAGGGGTTTTTTGGAGGAGAGGTAAAGCATTTGTGAACGCTAACATCTCCGCTTCTGTACATGCAATTTACAAAATAAATAGGCTTCAAGTAAATGAAAAAAAAAAACGCCTAAAAGAACCTTGTGATAACTAAGTTTTTAAAAGAATATACTGGGAGCCGCATACCCACTTCTCTGTTGCTGGGTTCTTTTCTACTTTTTCTTAATCTTTGAGAGATGATAGGCGAGAAAATGCTTAACACGAGACATTTGATGGAAAATTTGAGCTCTGGAAATCCAAGAACAAGAACGGACAATGTTGAATGAACAATGCCAATGTTCCTGATGATTTCAAAGAGAGGCATACTCACTCTTTTTTAGAGCTGTCTAGACTGGACTTCCTTCTACAGCAGAAAATGGTCGCCATGATGAAAATTAATACTAGAGATAATGCACCACAGCCGATTCCAAGATACATAATAGATGAGAGGCTCATATCTTCCTTGGTATCTAAAAACATGAATCAGAGCAAACATTAGTGAATGTTTCAACTTTTGGGGTGATTGAAACAAAGTTCAAAACAGTCATAGATACCTTAGACAGCTAAAATGAGTTGAATAAGTCAATTTTTTCCATCGCATCATTAAATAATATTAGGTGAATTGAACAATTATTTTCTCAATGTTTTTGGCGCCAAAAACCATGAAGAAATTTTATTCTGAACGATAAAATATGCAAGTTTACTTTATATTTACTTTATTTTTGCATTTTCTTAATTTCATCTTGAGAATTGTGCAGCAGCAATTGTTAACGCTTAGATGACTAACCGGATCAATGAGGCCCGGCGGCTTCTTATTTTTCGCGCCACCACAGCTGTAATTATCTGAGAAGTCTATCCTTCACAAATAGCTCTACATAAACCCTTAAGAACATAATTCCAGAAAAAAAATGTTTTTCAGGCACAGCAATTTTTTTTTCATGTCTACCCCTAGAATGACTAACCCGGGCCTGCGAGGCCCGTATTGAGAATGTATGTTTATTTGATAGCTGCGATCTTTTTTCTGTTTTTTGAAGAATTTTATGATTTTCATACTTTGTCTTCTATTACCAAGTTCCCAAATTCTCTTTCCACCCATAAACTGCCCCTCCCTCCCCCTCTAAATCTCCTCCCCTCTCTCCCCAGTCCCCTTAGATCTAAGAGTGTCTCATTATAAACACATTTGTATACATTTTTTGAGATTTTGAGGAGGTTACAATGAAGAAACATTATTACCCCTGTAAGTATACTTGAATTTGGGAGGGAGGGGGCAACCTTGCCCACCCCTCCCCCCTCCCCCTCCTTCCGGTGGCCAAAAAAAGTGGTACTTTCCAATGTGTTTCTTTCAAAGTTTTGCACTTAGAAGGTTTATTTTTTAACGTCGTGAAAAGGAAAGAAAAGTCTAAAATGTATTATTGTACTATTACTACTAATAAGTCGCTCTCATGGCGCTTCTGTGCGCTCTGCGACACCCAACCACCACTGACAACGATCTTGCCAGAGCACCTCTGGCAGAGCGCATCTTCTTTCAAGCCTTATTCCCTCAATCCATGATTTGACAGGACGTCTTCTACGTTGGACTTCATAGGCGTTATGTACTGTTGTCATTTATGGAATACTTCTACATTATTTCAAACTTTTTGACAAATTAGAGCAAATTTTGGATACATTACTCACAGTGAATTATGAGATAAACGTGGGACAAAATTTCTTGTAAAGTAACTAATGGTTTTCCTGAGGTTTTGCTGTAAAAGTTGTAGCTGAGAAGTGGTCATGGAGGTAAAATACTGTCTGTAATACTAAAGAACTGTAAAAGCACCATGCGTTATTTTTTTACAACTAAACGGTAACGCCTTTACATATTCACCGTATCACAAGAAACACCTAAATTTAACTCATAAAAACTCTTAGATCGTCAAAAAGTAAAAGTAGATAATGAATAATGATTCCAGTAGTAGAATGACGTACAAAACGACGGACAATATACATAAGTAGGAACGATTTTAGGAAAAACAAAACATAAAATAAATTACTGAAAGTCAAGAAAATCAGACTTATTATTTACTTGTTATTATTTAAATTTTAGGTGCTTCTTGTGATACGGTGAATATGTAAAGGCGTTACCTTTTAGTTATATGAAAATAATGCATGGTGCTTTTACAGTTCTTAGACAGTAAATTACCTCCATGACCACTCCTCAGCTACGACTAATATAGCAAAGCTGCTCTGACAAGATCGCTGTCAGAGGCTGTTGGGTGTCACAGAGCGCACAGAAGCACCATGAGAGCGACTTGCAGGTAGTGCTAGTAGAATAATATACGAGATTAAAAAATAAACCTTCTCAGTGCAAAACTTTTAAAGAAACACATCGGAAAGTACTACTTTTTTTGGCTACCGGAAGGCGGGGAAGGGGGGAGGGGTGGGCAAGGTTGCCCCCTCCCCTCTCAAATTCAAGTATACTTACAGGGGTAATAATGTTTCTTCAATGTAACCTCCTCAAAATCTCAAAAAATATATAAAAATGTGTTTATAATGAGAGACTCTTAGATCTGAGGGGACTGGGGAGAGAGGGGGGAGAATTAGAGGGGGAGGGAGGGGCAGTTTATGGGTGGAAAAATAATTTGGGACCTTGGTAATAGAAGACAAAGTATGAAAATCATAAAATTCTTCAAAAAACAGAGAAAAAAACATCGCAGCTATCAAATAACCATACATTCTCAATACGGGCCTCGCAGGCCCGGGTTAGGCATTCGAGTTGGTAAAAACGGTTAGTCATCTAAGGGTTACTGACTTGAGATTTGCACTTTAAAATGTCTGGCACCATGCTCATGATGGCGTTTCAATGCAGTTCAGAGTGTGAGGGGGTATCAAGTTGGGTTTCCACATGCTATATCCACTCAAATACGAGCAAAAGCAGTAGTGGTCTGCGAAGAGAGCCCCAACAAAATATTTTTAATGCACCTATCCAAGTTGAACACTCTTTTACCTCGGTTTTGCACAGAAACATTTAGGATTTTTTTTTTTTTTTA